GCGCGGTGGCGCGGTGGGCCTGGAGGGTCCTTGCCTTTGGAGAATAGCCTTGGTGTCCCAGCTCTGCATATGTGCCCTTGAGGGGGGTGGTGGAGGACCGAAAGCTGGTGGCCGTTGGGTCATGGGGGTAAATGAAACACCTGGTCCGTGGGGACCTGGCAGACTTTTCTAGCCTCGGAGGACATCCGGGGTCTGCAGTGATGCCAGCCGCCCGGCCACCTCTTTGTGTCCTCTAGTGAGAGTCCAGTTCCTAAACCAGAAGCCCGAGGAGGTTCTGACTGGGGAAAGGGGTTAAGCTGTTGCATTTCATTCTGTTCCTCGGAAACAATGAGGTCGATGACTTTTTTAAAAAAAACACTCTGGTGGAGTCTTGTTTGTAGACTTTTCATCAAGTATTTCATTAAGTTCTGGTCCTTAATGCTCCCTTTGTACCACCCTCAGGTGGCCACTGCTACTGCACATATTTTTGAAACAGTCCCGTGGAAGGCTGTTTGCAGCCGGCATCATGGAAGACAATATCCATCTCAGAGGGAGAGTTGCTTTGGGGGTTTTCCGACGACTGCATACAGAACTTCCTTGTATTTCGGATTTAAACCAGGAGACCAGAATGTTGACTCTAGGTCAGATTTGCCATGAAACAGAATTCCAGGCCTAGATAGATCATGTAATGCTATAAAAATAGTTATCAAGTGTTGAGATCAGCGTCTTTGGGCTTCTCAGTTTCTGTAGTTGGCATACTTTTAAAGAATTTATAGACTTTGGACTTTGATTAAATGCTATTAAAACATTTCCAAGCCCAACGCATCTAGGAATAAGAAAACTGCATTTTAACTTCGTCTTTGCCAGTTAAGACCTGAACAAGCTGTTCCACCTCTGGTGGCCTTGGCTTCCTCCCTCATGAAGTGGTTTAGATGAACCAGATAGTTTTAAAGCTTCAAGCTCACTCCTCACTGCCCCCTCCTCCCAGTAGTCTTTATTTGATCTACCATATTTAAGACTTGGCTATAAAAGTGATAGTTTGATATTATGGCCTTTACCACCTTTGAATCTGACTTTCCAGTTCCTCACTTTGCTTTTGGTCCTATTTGAAGCCGTGTGTCATAAGCCACTAACCCACCTGAAGGAACGTTTCCCCAGATTTCTCCCTCCTCACTGACTTCATCCTCAGTAGATCATCAGTAGCCGTCACTGTGTGACCTTCCTTCTCCCTGGCGTAGCTGCTCCCTGAAGCGTGCCGTGGAAGGGCAAAGCACAGTGAGAAACAGTCACCTGGCAGTCAGATCCATGCCTGAGTCCTGCTTTCCTCGATGGTTTTTCCTGCTCATCTCCATCCTCACCAAGGGCACCAGCTTCCATCAATGACTTTAATATGAATGATGTTCCCAAACACAAGCTTAAATATTTCCAAGGGAGACGCCATCGGTGCTTCGCAAAGGTTTAAACAAATCAATAGGAAGTGACAAGATAATTTTTCAAAAGCGAGAAGAACCAGTACTATTTTGTTCTCCCCCTTTGAGGGTATGATTTTTTTTAAGTGATTTAATTCAGATTGAATGGTTTGTAGTCTGACACATAAATGAGGAAGATGTTTGAGTGCAGCACTAAATCTTTTGAGCTCTTAGTAAACTAAAAGCAATTCCTGGATCTATATTCTGATTCTTGAAGGCTGCAATCCACTTTTTGCGAATTTCTCCCCCCTCCCCCCTTTCACTGCTAGTAGTTTAGTCTTCTAAACAGTTGCCATCTTTGAATCCTCCTTCAGGCAAGGATTTTTCCATGGAATAGTAAAACTAGAATGCATCTTGGAGGATCTAGTCCAGCCCCTACATCTTAAAGATTTGGGAAAGCACCAAATGGTGGTTAAGAATCAGTGCTCTGAAACTAGCTGACCTATGTATGGAGTTTGCCTCTGCAGCTTGATGGCACTGTGACCTTGACGCCTCTAAGGAAATTATTTAGACATAGATTATTTTATAATCGTGAAAAAGTAACAATCATAGTTGAGCGTTCTCTCCAGATGATCTCACCTTTGCTCATTTCTTCCTCTCTGAATTTAGGCAATAGTGACTCTTCTCCTGATCTGTGCTGAGCACTGGTGATTGTTAATGAAATAATCCGTAGTAAGTGTAGGGCACCTTGTGTGCTTCAGGGATGATTGTTGTTGATAAACCAGGTGCCAAGAGTGAGTGATTTTGCTGAGGACTACACAGCTCTCAACTGGCAGAGCTGTGCTTCAACTCCTGTCACTTCTCTTTCCCCTGAACTGCACTACCTAGAAGTGATGGCAGCATGGGGACATATTTTAAATTAAATGACATAGTTAAGAAAAAAAATTCCTTGCCTCTTTTGACTTAAAAAGAACATGGTTTCTAAAGGAAAATGTTCATGTATCCAAGCAGCGATGTGAATAGAAACATTTTCTAGACAAAGACCCTCAGCAACTTAAGACTTGTGTGTGGCAGGCATCTCAAATATTAACGTTTCATCACAGCCTCCATCAATCTTGCTTTATAAAATGAAGGGCTGACCCCACGCCGTTTGAGGATTCAGAGTCATGGGCATCTGTGCCAAGTAGAACTTACTGACTGCAGGGCCCGCTTTCAAGTAATTAAGAGATGACTGCATGCTCTGCATCATATTGCTTGTGCTGGTGAGAAGCAACAGATGCTTTAGCGAAGGTGACCGAACTATAGGCTGGTCATCGAAGCAGGGGGGGCCTGGGTTTGCTGTAGAATAACTGGGCCGCAGGTCACCCAGGTGCTGACGAACAGCTTCTCGTACACCCGAGGGATCCCCACCCCATTGGTGAGGAGTTGACTGTAGGTCTAGCACAATTTTCATGCTTGAGTCATGTTTGAGTATCTTTTGAATCTGAATACACGAGATTATCGAGAAATGATCCTCTGCTGAGATACAAGCCATGTGAAAATTCCCAAACCTAAACATCCCCTTTTGATAAATATTAATTATATTTGAGGGAAAGCAAAAGTGACCTGGAAGCATGGATCTGAAAAAATCCATAATCTCTTCTGCCTTTCCCCTTCCCGTATAAATCCCGGAGGAAGGACAACTTGTAGAGTGTTAATGTTAGGCTAAGTTTTAAAAAGATTCCAGCTGCACCCCCTTGGTGTAACTAAACTGATGTCTTTAATTAAGAAAGCTGTTTGGGTAAGCTTTAATGACCAGGGTGCTCAGAAACCACTTATCACCAGCACTAGGAAGGTGAAACCATTACAGCATTGGCCAAAAGCTAGCAAGCCCTTCAATGTGAGAAGAACATTTTTTAAAAAATATCAAAGACAAAGTTGAAATGGGTGTGAGTATAATCATTGGTAAAACTTTAGAATTCTCATAAAAGAAATCACTAAATCAGTAAATCATCATACCATTAAACTGGCTCCAATGTTTGAAGTGGTAAATAGATCTTACAGTTGTTCACTGTGTGTCTAGTTACATTAAATACTGACTTAAATGACCCAAGTTTGAACAAAGATGGAAGTGGGTGATGAGAATTTCTACACCAGGAGGTGGTAACCTTTTCCTGTAAAGAGCCAGATAGGAAATATTTTACGTTTTGTGGTCCTTGTGTATCTCTGTTGTGTATTCTTTGATTTGCAGAAGAGGGGATTGTTTGTTTACATAAATCCTTTAAAAAGGTAAAAACTAATCTTTGCTTGAAAAGAGGCTTTTCACTGGAAATCAAAATAAATGTCAGTAAACCAAAAAAGAAAAAAAAATGGCAGCCAGAGTTTGCCAACTCTGTTCTAAATGAAATATTCTCTCATCGATGGCCTTCGGTATTTTCGTGGAGCCTCAGAATGACAGATTTCATAAGCTCTGTCTAAGCTGACTCACTTTAAACAGACTTATAATCAAAGCTCCTGTGTTTCTCTTTCTTCCAGTCACTTTTCTTTCTTTTCTCTTTACACTGGGTTTAGAAAAGTCTCTGTTAGACGTGGCGATCAGTGGACATAGGAATGAACGGCAGTGCCAAATTTCAACACTCCTCCTGAGTGAGATGCTGAACAGGGAGAGAAGCTCAGTGGGGATGGAATAAAGTCCACATTGAAACAGGTCACTGATGAAGATCACTGATCATGTGCACTGAAGCTCAGATCCCCAGTGGGCACCCTCTGGCGGTGGCGCTTACCTTTCTTCTAGCACCTCCCCACGTCTCCCCCACGTCTCCCCCACGTCCCTGTCACTCAGGACAACTCTCGGAGCCCTAGGTGTGCTGTGCACTCTCTCACCAGTGACGGGCTCCTTCCATACGAAGTTTAAATACACATCTCTTCCATGGAGCTTCTCTTCATCTTACTGGGAAGAGACAGCGGCAGTTGCACGCTCATAGTAACACAGGACCTTATACATGAAGCAGGTAGAAGGACGAGAGAAATGTGGGGATCCCCAGTGGACAAATACTACCTTTCAAAGTTGGGGGAACAGTTTTATTCCTCTCTGTAGCTTCAGGGATCTTGTCTTACTCCTTTGGACCAGTCACTGAGTCCGAACTGTTTCCATGCTTTTTGTGTGATACGTAGTGCAGCACCTCTGTGTCTGGATTTGAAGTCAGGCTGAGCCGATGTCTGGTCCTGGCTTCTTAACCTGCTGTCCTATCTTTTTTTTTTTTTTGAATATGTAAATGTATTACTTAAAAAAAAATTTTAGTTTATTGAGTTATAATCGGTTTACAATGTTGTGTCATCTTTCCAGTGTAGAGCACAATTTTTCAGTTATACATGAACATACACATATTCATTGTTGAATTCTTTTTCACCATGAGCTACCACAAGATCTTGTATATATTTCCCTGTGCTATACAGTATAATTTTGTTGTGTGTGTCCCATCTTTAAAGTAGATAATGAGAATGACCTCTCAATTGCTAGGGATAAATGAGGTTTTCCTCTGTCAAGCATTTAGTTCAGGGTCTGACACACGGTGATTGCTCAATAAATGGAAATCTTTGTTCATTCCAGAGTAATTTACTGAGAACCTACTGTGCCTGAGTAGTGCCTGATGCAGTGAATCCAAGAGCCATGGTCTCCATAGTGATGTGATCAGTGAAGGGGAGAATCTGGGTGAGGGATGGGCCACCTTACATGGTGCTCTCGGAAGCCTGTCAGAGAAGGCAATCTTGGAACTGCAACTTTAATGGTAACAATGAGTCCCTACTTCATCTGATCTAAGATACTTTTGAAATGCACCCTTTTTAAATGTACCAGTAAGAAAGAAGAAATGCTGTCAATAAAATTGATACAATCTCTTATAAGATGCATCCATAAATTGTAGAAAATGTGCATCTTAGCACCAATGAAATACATTGATATTTGTGCTCAATAAATAACCATCGGATCAGTTCCTGTTACTCTGTGGCTGCATACAAGGTTCAGCTCTGAGTGCTTTCACTGTAACTGAGTTTGTCCCTTCTGTTTCTTAGGCCTGAAAGGTTGACTTGGAACTGGCAAAGAGTGAAATACGGTAAATTCAAGTATTGTGAGACATTTGTGATCTGAGGTGCTTTAAAAATCGTTTAAAACATTCACTTTGGTCATTTCAGTGAACAAAGTGGGTGACTCCTGTTGAAGTGAAGTTGGCCTCCACGTAACTTGGGTAGGAGCGAAGTTGAGCAGCCCTTGCAGCCGGTAATTCCTTTTGGCAGCTGTCTGCAGAGATGTGTGAATCTTTAATGCACAGAAATGCCTTCCTCAGGGCAGTGAAGGCATTAGCTGGAGCTTACTTCCTTCTGTTGCCCAGATTTCATTTAACACAAATACTCCTTCTCTCCTCTGTATCCCCAGGGGCTGATCATTCCTCTAACCCAGCAGGTCCTTTGTGATAATGAAATGGAGGAGGCTCCCTTTAGAGCCGCCCCCTCTTCCCTGCTCTGGGGAGTCTCTGGGTTTTCATAGTCCAAGCAGTGTTTTCTCTTGCCCCACCCTCCTCCCTGCATAGAGAGTGAAATACTGCTTAAGTCGTTGCTTTCTGACCACCCTCTAAACTCTGATTCCTCATCAAGATCTTCCTCTGAGCCCACTTTGGAGCTTTCTCCAGCTCTCCCCTCCCGTCCAAGATCTCTGTTTCTGGATGGATGACTCAATGGGAGCTTTGACAATACTTGGTTATTTCTAGCTGTAATAAATTGTGCTTTCATGCTGTTTTGATTTCAGTTTCAACGCACCACTCAAGGGCCTAGCACGCGTCAGCACGCCAGCCCTCCACACGTGGTGGCCTGCCTCTCCCCCTGCCACCTGGAGTCTGTTCCTTTGGGGCACTTTCAGCAACTCCCACCCTCTCCTGGCAGAGCTCCCTTCCTGCACCCCGCCTGCCTGGGGTGGGGGGTGGGGTCTGTCAGCGCAGGCCAAGGAGGAAGCAAAGTGCAGACCTTCCACCCCTTCCAGAGCCACATCCTTCCTCCCCCCACCTTCTCCTGTCACCGAAGCCCTCATACTGTAGGAGGTCTTTGGAACCCACACCAACTCCAGCTGAAATATGAGTCTTTGGAAACAAATAGATGCAAAGGAAAGACCATTTGTAGGCATTCCAGGGGTGCGTATTAACCACAGTCCAGCCTTAGGATGATTTAAGGCTGTCTCTGACCTGTGACTAGAAAGCTGGTTGGGTGTGTGTGTGTGTGTGAAGATGTGAGAGATGTGAACCGTGTGAGGAAGGGGTGAGGGCTGAGCCAAGGCCATCACAGAGTTCAGCTCTCCATGCCCGTGTGATTACAGACAGTCCTCAAACACTGACATCTGTGCTTCTCTGATGTGCTCAGAGAGAGGAAAAACTGTAATCTGGGGCATAAATATATGATCCCGTGTTTGTTCCCTTTAGCCACGTAGACCTGTCATTAGTTTAAGCATCTATGTTGTGCTAAAATATTATAGCTGCTTTAAAGGAGGATGTCGTAGCTGGTCTGAAACAGCTTACAGCTTAAATATTCAGTTGTCTCACGTGTTTTAGAATTTGAATCATCTAAACATATGAATTAGGAAGCACAAGAGTCAAAATCAGGAATATAGGGTTACTGAGTGGGGGGCAGAGGAGTCTATTCGAGGAGACATAGACTTCCAGAGGCGATTTTTTAAAAAGAAAAACCTTTCTTTACCTTGTGCTCCTCCCATCACAGGTCAGAGTTCTAGAGAACTACTTGCTAAGGACTAACGAGGGTGAGGCCGTAGGGTGATGAGATGTGCAGGGAGAGGACGGGAAGTGGGCGTGCGCATGTGCTGATCAGGATTGGCTGCGTCTAGCAAAGTGCTTTGGGAAATACTTGCAAGCTTTTGGAATATAGTTATGGAGCAAAATCTTGGTGGTCTTGGCTTTTGTCCACTTCTCTTCATTGTCTCTATAAGATAAATGCTTATTTTCCCCTCTCTCCTTTAACGGTTGTTCAGATTAAACTCTAAGGAACGCCATTTCATCACAACATTTAATGATCTCTGATCTTGAAGCTAAAATGGCAAGAAAAGTAATGTGAAAATAATGTGTCTGAGGCATGGGGAAACCCTGTGGTCCACGGGGGTCCCTGTCACAGTGAAGCATTGACTCAAGCAAGTTAGAATCCAAAAGGTGTCATTGTTAAGCATTTTTTGTTTGTTTCCTTTTTGTAAAAAGAAATTATCCTGATAGGAAAGCAAATACTGTGAAGTTCTCAAAATTGAGTGGTTATGAGCTAGAATAGCCATGCTCTTCAAAATCCAGACTACCTCTGGGGAGCAAAAAGAGATTTGTTTTGCTGTATGATCTATGGTATCAAGATGCAATACCATCTCATCTAATACTGTAGTTTGAGAAATTCCCAAGTAGGAGGTTAACAGGTGTTTGTTTTTAATCTTCTTATATAAATGAAGAAGAGAGCGCATTTCTGTACTAGCCAAGGAGATAACAGCTAGCAATAACTGTTGTAAAAATCTCCTTGGCTTTGGATGACTAACATGAGCAAAAAACATACTTTGCAAATGTTCAGAAATGAAATACCATCCTCTTGAAGGAGAAAATTCTTATTTGATACTTTAATATGCAAAATAGAGCAATCAAACCTAATGCTGTCTTCTTTTTCTCACTTACTTACTACAATACTAGTCCAAACACCGTTTCTGTGACATTAATTATGGGGGAAATGGTGTGCGTGGGAAGAGTTAAGTTTGTTTTTTTAAGGTCTGAATATTCAGAGTTGAAGTGTGGGAGCAGTCTGGAGTCAGGCAGTCTACATATGTCATTTGAAGGTTTTTTGGACATGCCTGCTAACTTGATGGTAAAACCATATAATAAAGGTGTTATGAGGTATAAATGCATAACGTGTATATATAATACCCAGAACATAATAAGCCCTTGATAAATAATGGCTCTTTTATAATATTTACTGGGTGTCACACTTAAGTTTTATTCCCTGCTACTAGACGTCTGGAACAATAAACAACACGAAAATAACTGAGAAAAAACATCTCAGTGGTGGATGAACAGACTTTCTCCGGAGGCAAAAGTAAGAGAGAAGAGGAACTCAGTTGCTTGACTTACTGCAGGAGAGATGGAGTGTACATCACAGTTGGGAATTCAGATTAGCATCAGCTTATTCAACAAATATAATTTCCTAAATGCTGAGGACACAGTGATGAACAAATCAGGCCAAATCTGGAGTGAAGGGAAAAGACCACTGCTTTAAAAGAAAGAGGGAAATGGAGTGGAGGTGGGGGCACGCTATTTGCCTGGGTGGTCAGAAAGGCCTATCTGAACTGG